AAGAGCGGAAGCAGGGCATTTATCCTGCTGGCTTCTGCAGGAGAATTTGCTCCCTTATGAGCTCCTCAGCAAGTTCTCCAAAGCAAATTCAGCAAGCTAATAACAAAACCAAATCCTCTGTCCTCTCCCGGACACAAGGAGAAGAGTCCCTTTTTGCTCTAGCCCCAACACAGCATCCTGGCTTGTCCTTGCACAAGCTCTTCCCTTCAGAGCCTGCTTCTTTCACTTGCTTTCTCTTTTCTAACTCCCCTCTTAGCCAAGGACGGGCTGTTCCCCCTTAAAGGGACAGCCCGCACTGTTACAGAGATGCGGATTCAGCTCTAAGTTCTCCTCTTGGTTCAAATGTGATAGCAAAACCCCCAAAAAAGCAATTAGTTTAGCCTCTCACCGTTAAATCCATTAGTTACAGTACCTGACACTTGAAAAAGTAACCCTGCACTGTTCAGTGCAGCACTGGGAAAGAATATTAATTACATTGCTGAATGCTGGCCAAAACAGGCTCTGAAGGAAGAGCCATATAGTGGCCATTAAATATTTATTAATATAAAGATTTAAAAGCGATGCTGTCCTTATCTGCAATGCCCAGCTATGAGGTAACAGGAAGTGAAGTGGAGAACCAGCGCACATGCAATGAATAAAGTACTATGCTGCAAGGAAGAACTGCATTAGTTTCTCTTGCCCCAAGGGGCCAAGTGGGGGATTAACTTTTCCTTACTCCTGGAAAGCTCCCCGTTGGAGCTGGATCACTTGACACCAGTTGGGGATCTGCTCTAGAGCAGCGGTTCTCAACCATTTTTTTTTTGTTTTAATAAACATCAGTGGCCAGTCCCAACCCCGTGCCCCTCACTCCCGACCTGTTGCCCCATGTCCCCATGCTCCAGCCCCACAATGCGTGGGGCATGGGAGAGCCCCAAGCAGCCCCTCACAGGCTGAAACTCTGCCTGCCTGCAAGGGAAAAAACAGTTCCCCATGTTTTCCTCCTTTAAAGGAGAATCCATTTTTAAAGTTTGTTCGTGACCCTTTCATATATTCTTGCAACCCACTTTTGGGTCATGACCCACGGGTTGAGAGATGCCGCTCTAGAGGTCTTCAGCCAACTTAATTAAGTAAAGGTCTGCCATAATATTGAGAAAAAGGCCTCAGAAAGGACATGATCTAAAGCCCTCTGAAATGAATGGAAATTTTCCACTGACTTCACTTACATCCGCATCAGGAGCTCTGGGCTTAACCCCGCAAGATCCCTGGTGGGAAAGCCAGGCGCCAAGTGCCAGGGGATCTACTGGTGCTGTGTTTCTCAGTCCTGAGACCTCCTTGCCTGTGACCATTGAGGCTTTCAGCAGAGCGCCCCAATGTTCATGCCAAGGGATGAGACCCCAAAAATTAGAGAGCAAATTACACTATCTCCATGCATGTGAGTGGGGCCTGTGCAAATGGGAAATGTTACTGGAAAGGTCCTAAACCACTGCCAGCTGCAAAGAGCAAACCCAGCAGCTTGGAGTCTGATCCAGCCCATCTTTACTCACCAGCGGCCTGACACAGACACCCCTTGAGTCAAGGAAAGGGAAGGTGTGCACCTGCACCGCTCTCTCTGCAAGGTGTGCGCTCAGCACTGCTGATGTCAGCACATTCAAATCAGCACGGGGCTGTTTCCATGCGAGGGTGAGCAGCACCGGGTCCCTTGAAACCACTTGCCTTTAAGTAAAACAGCAGTGGGGGTGACAAAAGTTGTGTAAAAAGACCCTAAAGTATTTAGGGCTTCTGTGTTTTAAAATTAACTTTCAAATAAATACATTTCTCTCCAGTGTAATTGCTGGCCTGCCCTGCCACGTACCAAAAAAGAAAAATCAATACCTGCATGAACAAGAATTCAAGTGAAATCCACACAACATAGAAGCAGAGCCTAAAATTTGATTAAATGCATAATTTGAGCTCTGGGTTTTCCAACACACACAATTTGACAGTTTACACCTCCCCACTTGGTTTCACAACGGCACGCGTTGTAACTCCAAAGTGTGTTGTTCTGGTCTCAAAGAGTGGCTTCTCCTGGACGTGAGTGAAGGTGAAATGCCGTTGACGAGGCTGTGCCTCCCAGTCCGTGCTATCAATCCCATGATGCTGGTTACTGTAGCATTATCTCTTTGCCCCTTTGTCTTCATAAATGATTTCCCATAAACTCAGAATAAAAGGTGCAGTATGTCATCTCAGCTATATTGTATGCTCACTGGGGAAATAATAAATAATGGCCATTGCTGGTGAGGGTCATTACCAGGAAAGGGGAGCTTGCAGCCATCCTTTCCGAAAAGCATAAATCAGGGAAAGCTGCAATAAATAATCATGATGAGCAGAAGGAAGAACCCAGGAACCCGTGTTTCGCCTCCTGCAGCACACGCATACAGGGATCTGTTTCTCGCCCTGACGTTCGTTTGCAACTCGACGGAGCGGCTCCCTCACAACCGGTGACTCCTATAATCTGCAAGTTTATTGGTGGCGGCCGTGCGGTTGAGGAGAGGTGCGTGATGAGCGGGGGTGAGGTGAAGTCCATCTGGCTGGCAGGTGATGAGTGCCGGTCGCCGCTCCGTTATTCCTCGGCTGCAAACGAGGCGCTTTTCATCCAGGGTGACGAGCTGGTATTCGCAGAAATCAATCAGTGTGGCCACCTGCTCGCGTAATGGGAGTGACTTGTATCTTTTTTGAGCCAGGCAAAAGAAAGCTTCCACAAAGGCTTGCAAGCACATCCCTTCAAATAAGGAGAGAATTGACATGAGAATCAGGGGCAGACTTCTCCCATCCCGCGTCCTTTCAGTCTAACGTGTCCCGTTCTCTAGCACCTGTCATCTCCACGGCTGGGCATGTGGGTGATTGCGGATATACAGACACAACTATGTTAGTCAGCTCCTTTTTTTAATTCAAGCTCCGGCTGCCTCGAACCTTCGCTAACAAAACACCCTTCTGCCTGTCCTTTAAGACCAAAAGATGACATTTTCTTTGTATTGGATAGATCAATCAAACAGCACAAAGTTGTTGGGTTTTTTTTAAAGTGCACCAGAAAAGCCAACGTGCCCAAGGTGAGTTATAGACGGGCGATGCTCCTGAGCATCGAAGATGCTCACAAGGATATACAGGCATCAGCCCGACCCCAGAGCCTACCATCGAGAGGTAAATTGCTATAGCAACTACTGATTCTAAAGGGTTGCAAAATTGAATTGACATAAGATCAGCCCCAATTCTTGTCGCCTCAAATATTAAATTGAAACTGAGTCTGACACATACCAACATGCTGAGCTTCAGGGAATATAATCTGCCCAAGGGAAAAACAAGTCATACATGCAACTCAAGTGTCATTTCAAAACTCGGACTTTTAGAGCTGGACCTATATCAACAGTCCCCAAACAAGAGGGTTGTTTCAGTTTGTGGCTCTGTACAGCTTCCCCATTAATGAGTGCCCTCATTAAAGCAGAAGCGAGTTCTCCTAAACCATGCATCCCCTCTGTAGCCTTTTTGCCAAGGCTCTGAAAAGGCAACTAATTAGCATCAGTCATGGCAGCGGCTTTGGCTATAATGGCGCTTCTCCACCAGGAACTGGAATTTCACGCAGGCCAGACAGAAACACCTTTACAGCCCGTTACTGGATGGGAACGAGCACGTCAAAAGCAAAGGGATCTGCATTTTGCCAACACTCCCTTTGCGCTTTTTGTGAACACCCCGAGTTGTTGCAAGCGCAAGGGCACAGCTTTCGGTGTCATAATCCTTCGCTCCTGCTGCTGCTTTTCTTTCCCAGCTAAGGGAGACCACACATGGGAGGCGGGGGCTTGGGCTTGGCGCACAGTCCTTGTCCACAGGCCAAGTTCAAGGACGGGAACCTGTGCTGTCAACATGCAAAGACTATTCTGCTCCTGGCACGTAAGGAACGGGGATGCCAAGCACTGGAACAGGTTTTTCGGCAGCCAGCGTGCTCTGGCTTTTCTGCAGATCCTCTCTTTGGCTCCTCTGAAAGCTGCTGTTGCTGCAGTGGTTTTGCATTTATTAGAGATTGGCTGCACTAACGCTTATAGCTCTAAAGACTGGGACTTTGACTCGAGTGTCGTGCCTTAGGGGACTCGAGACGAGTCAATAAGAAGAGACCTTTCCCCAGCTCCTCCGCTGCTCTTCATCCCTCCCGAGCTAAGACCACACACTTAGCTGAACACCAGGGTTAAATGTCCCTCCTTTGATGAGAAATACCCAACATCTTTTGTAACCAGAAGAGGTTTCCTCCATCCAAAAGGCTGCGGGATGCTGACCCGAGGCCCAGAGCCCTCCCCTGCATCACCGCCTACAAACTTAAGGCTTCTGCCAGCCCTGCTTACCCAAGCACAACCCCTAACCTCCTGCTCCTCTTATCCAAAGAGTGGTCCATCTCTCATGGTAAGAGGGATGTAGCCAACAGAAGACTTCTAATCTCCAGTGCACTGAATCTGAAGGAGCTAAATACCCCACGTGCCCCTCGAATACAGCAGGCCAGATTTACTTGTGCGGAGGACAGCTGAACTCCTTTTTTTCATATCCCCCAGATGAGAGCGCGATTTCACTGGCATCAGGAAAAATATTCTGCTTAACCTGAGCAGAACTGAAACACAGTGGGGTTGTTTTAATGGCATGAAACCTAAGCTCTTGAAGCATGCAGTAAAGGCAAGCAGACTACGGCCAAAGATTCCCTGCAAAGATTAGCCTTTCTGCTGCCCCGACGAGCAGCCAGCCTCCGATAGCCACATGCTGCAGAAACAAGATTCCTACAGCGCTCTCTGATTGCGCTTCGTTAACAGCACGATACAGTGCCTGCACGCTCGCGCTAATTCCAGCATTTTAGAATCGTGCGGCAATACCACCTTTAATCCTTAATTAAGGACCCAGGCCCTGCTGTATCTTTGAGGAATACCAGCAACAAGGAACCATTATATCCAACTTGTGTTTTAAGTGTGTGCACTAACTAGGTGAAGCAGTTAAGGTTTTAAAAACAAAACAAAACACACTTAATTCAAGGTTATTGATTTTAAAAAAGCAACTTTTTTTCCCTGCAACATTACAATTACAGTCCAAAATATCATTTCCTCTCAACTGAGACAGCAATTGGGGTCAGTTACAAGCTCTACGGTGAAACAGCTTGCAAAGAAATTATTGGGTTATCTAAGAGCAGCAGCTGCCGGCTCGGTAAATTATTTTATCAGTCATGGTGTGCTATAACATGAGAAACAGGGCCAATTTGGTAGCATATATATTACCTCCCCATAAGTGACACTCATGCAGAGCATTTAATGAAAAAAAGTTGGATGCTGCTGTTTTACAACGAGAATAACAGTTGCTGCGTGGCTTACCACTGGAGGCAGGCCAAGCTCAAGGCCACATCACCACAGACATCTCAGGGAGGTGATTATGTATGGAAATACTAAACTCTATTTTTTATTTTTTTTCCAGAAGCCATCTGGTTCATTGAGGCCTTAAGCAAATCCAGTAATTCCTGAATCTGGAAATGCTGGGGTTGAAAAGTCACCTGCCTGTTCAACTCACCTTCTTTTGCTAACAAAGCTCTGTCAGCTAATTGAAAATGAACCGCTTCTAAAAGCAAGTCTGCAAATTTTCCACATGATTCATGTGTGGAAAAAACAAACCCTGTCCACCAGTACCCAGAGCACCTGCAAACCTGGTCTGTCTGCAAAGGAGACCACAGCAGAGCTGGACCGAGGAGAGTGCAGCAAGGTGGACATAATCAAGTGTATGATCACTTATTTCCTTTGTAGCATACATTCAATTTTTTCCTCTTCTAATATTAGTCCTAGACATGTTGCCTCCATCAGTCCTTTGAGCAATATATTTTATGTATTGCTCTCATGCCTGATCTACATCTTATCTTTTATGTATAGAGCCACTGCATATTATACCTTACCTACCTCTAAGTTAGATAAAAGAATACTTGCCTGTTTCACAGGGGGAAAGGCTTCATTAACATTTGTGAGGCACTTTTAAATCTTCAGAAATATACAAGTACTTGTACAGGTGTGATACCTGGCCACCTTCTAGTGTGACTGTGAATCACTCAGACACTTGGTGCTTAAGCAGGAAAGAGATAAAGGGCTACTTTAGAAATAAAATACAACCGTATCACGGACCCTAGGGAAGCAGAGCTGGAAAAAAGACCTCACAAGGTGATCTAGGCCAGCCCCCAGCTCAAAGCATCCCTAACTCAAACCTCCCGGCCAAGGGTCTGTCCAACCAGCTCCTGAAAAGGTCCAAGGATGGAGACTGCACAACTTTATCCTTTACAGAAGGAACATGTACACGCAGGGAGAATGTAGCATCATCATCTTCACCAACATTATCATCATCATTAAAGAAAAATACATTTTGAACTAGGTTGAAGAGCTGAAGACACCAGCTGGACAGCTCTGTTGGCCAATACACTAGCTTCTTGTATAGAGCAAAGACTGACCCCCGAGACCAGGGGAAGCCGATTCCTACAACCTCCCACTGTGGCATGCTCCTGACCTGGACAGGATGTCTTTATCCATATGAGGGCATTAATCCTAACCAGCGCTTCCAATCCTTTTTTCGCTGCTAACAAGGGTGCCAATGGGACCCCACGCGAGATGCTAAATGTGCGGTAGACCAATTCTACTGCGCATTATCGCATCGTGGCAAAAGCCGTGCTATCATGCTTAGCGCACAGTAAAATTAGTCTACTCATTAACATCACTTAAGAGAGGTGCGCTGGCATTACTAGTGCGCATTTAGTTATTACAGGTACTAAAAACTTAATGCACAACAACCATGGTGCATTAATGCACATGTAGACGTGCCAAAGGGCAACAGTATTTTTCGATATGGGAACAACTGTCCAGTAAGACATATCAGTTTCTTTTCATAAAGCTACTGAACAACTGTCAGGAACAGATGGCCTCATTTTTATATTGAATATGATAGTAATTGTAGAGCTTAAGTTACATTACAAGTTAAATATTTACGCCATTACTGGAAAAAAAAACAACTAACCTCTGAACTCTGCTATCTTGACAATTTAATGCGTCTCAGGCCTAAAAAGGTGAACAGAGCAGGTAGGCAGATCATTATGCACTAAATCCCATGCTAACAAATAACTCTCGGCCAGTAGTGCCCTTTCTTCATTTCATCAAATGACAGACAAGCCGGCTCACCAAGGATGGTGATTAGCAAACTGAGGCTAGTCCAGAACGAAAGGTCGGTTTGGGCTCCCATTAAGCTTCCTATTTCTATTTCTCCAGATATAGAGACAAATTGTATTTCTGTTAATTTGATGATGTCCCAGCACCAGCTAATCAGTCATTGTAATCGCCTCGTGAAACTTCAGATGTGTAGAATATGCAACTGCTCATAAGGCACGTTTTGAGAACGCATTATGCGGAAGTGATTTCTTCAGCAAGTGACACGTTTTGCCGCGTTCTTCATTATTTACTGGAAGAAAGGAGCCCTGGCCATACTCCAATAAAAAGAGCAGGAGTCTGTGAACAGGTAATCCTATCTCGATATTTTGAAATATAGAAGATAAGACTCTAAATACTCTTAAAATAGTTTTTAAAAATTCTTATTATTTGCTAACAGTCTCCCACCCTTTTTGCAAACACAAAACATTTCTTTGGATACATCATGCAGAAGCTAGCTAAAATATAGACAGGCATAAAACCCAGGTTATAAGCCACATTGTATTGTCTTTCTCCTAAGTGGCCATTT